GGGGCTGGCTGCTCACTGGCATCCTGCCTGCTTTGCTCACTACCTCTCCACCCACACCTGTGGACACCTCTGGGTGCAGCCAGGTGGCTGGGCTCAACAAGCATCCTCTGTCTCTGACAGTCCTACTGCCTGCACAGCATTCTGGGCATGTTGAAGGCAGTTAGGCCCATGAAAGGGTAACTGTCAGCCTGTGGCCACCTGTCTTCAGAGCTTCTGCTAAGGGGCAGGGTTGACCCTAAGCAGACAGTGGCCGCCACTGCAGCAGGTGGAACAGATACTGAGGCAGCAGGGTGTGATGAAAAGCCTGGACTCCCTTCTCTTCCCCAACACTGGTCCCTGGCCCCACAGAGCCCATTCCTTGGAAAATTGCCTTTGTGATTGTGTGACACTTGGGAAAGAATAATAGCATGTTTCTCCTAGGAGCTTCTTTGTGGAAAAGATAATATGTCAGGCAAGAGGGAGAGAGGTGGAGGGGCAGGAAGGAAACTCTGCAGCTGACACTGGCTTGGAGCTGTTTTCCTAGCTCTGGGTGCCCACTGCTGAGGTAAATGAAGCCTTGCACCCATCTGCTAAATAGTGGGCAGGCAGCAGGGCAGACACTGAGGGAGCTGAACCCCCCAGTGACTCAGACACCCAGAGCTGGCTAATCCAGTGAGGCTCATAAGAAGGTGACAGAAAAAGGAAGTGCAAAGGGAATGACTAAGAAGGAAGTAATTGTGAGGCTGGTGTGACAGCCCCAGGTGGGAGAGGAGCAAGCCTGTTATTAGGAATGATGAACACAGAAGAGCGATGTCATTCCGCAGGGGCCCTGACTATCTCTGTCTCCAGTCTGGCACAAGTGGGCCTGCATCAGGAGAGAATCACATGGGAACCAAGTGCGCAGGACAGATGCAGCATTGACGCTGCTGGAGCCTGAGCCAGAGAACTGACTGCTGGAGGGCTTTGGATAATGGGCTGGATTGGGAACCAGGAAGATCAAGAGGGTAATTATAAAGAAAATGTAGCAACTTGGCAGAAAATGTGGACAATTAAAAGGGAAAATCTATGGTATTCCACCTCCCTAATGGAAGTATTTTCATTTCCAGCCTTGCCCACACATATGTATTTGTACAGAATTTTCAGCAAACTCAAAATTCATACCTGCTTTTTAAAAATTCATCCCTACATCAGGAATATTTCTTAGTATTCTTTTATACCCTCTTTGTCACTGATAATTGCTATAAAATATCCCACCTATGGATAGACCACAATTAGTGGTAATATTTCTCTCTATTCTGTGGGTACATTACTTGCTTTTTTCAGATAGCTGTATTGAGATATAATTGGTATACAATAAATTGTGCATATTTAAAACATATAATTTGATAATTTGCACATGTGTAGACCCAAGAAATCATCACTACAATCAAGATAAAAACATACCCATCACCCCCTGTATCCCCTCCTGCCTCCTGTGGTCCCTCGTGTCTCTCTGGGTCATGTTTGTTTTGGAGACTGTTATTTTAGTGGTCCACAGTGCCTCCTTGCAGTCACACACTTATGTAGTCTCCTCCCTGTGTCCTATGTTCTGCTTTAAAGAAGAGGATATAAGGGCCGGGGATTTAGCTCAGTGGTTTTGCCACCCACAGCGCAAGCGCAAGGACCCAAGCTCCCCCGGTACCAAAAAAAAAAAAAAAAAGAAGATACACTAGTTTCAGCTCTGGCCTTAGAAAGCACTTGGAGCATATGCTTTTGCAGAATGTTTCTTCTTGGAACCTTGCTGCCATTCTGTGAGGAAGCTCAATTCAAGCAATGTCAGAGAAGAACAAAGTTCCCTGACTGACAGCCCCATCTGACCTCCCAGATGGTAGCTAGGACACACAGACAGACATTTGGGCCTGCCAGGCATCCCTCTGCTCCAGCCCACACCACATGGGGCCAAACAACTGCCGAGTAAACCCACAGAACTCCTCGAAATGAGTTATAGTTGAAGTCACTAAGTTTTGCAGTGGTTTGATGTGCAATCATCATTAACTAAAGTAGACTGAGAACACATGCAATCAATGTTACGATGGATTCTCATTCTCATTCCATGTGACTCTCCACCTTTTAGCTCCTTTACAGATAAATTTACTTAGTTACTTTATTTTTTTATTCATTGCACTGGGGATTGAACCAAGGCCCCCAAAAGAGGTATTCCCATTGTCTACAGTTAAACTTTTTGACTAATTACTTACACTTGCTATCTATCCTGCCACACTTTGGGTCCACTTTTACTTAGAACTAGGATTCTGATCTTATTACTCCTTGAAAATGCTCTCACCGGGGTCACCAGCTTATTCTTTGCAGCTTAATCAAGAGGATAGTTTCAGTCCTTATCTTATTTGATCTATCAAACCTGCATTTCACTTTGTTAGTCAATTCCCTCTTAAAATTGTCTTTTTCCTGCATGTGATATCATGAACCACATTTCAGTCTGAAATGTTCAGATTTCAGAGACCCAAAGAAATAATGACTTTAAAAGCATAGGATTTTACCCTACTGTCCCACACAAACATGGGAGCTGGGTTGTTGACTTTGCTCTGTGACACTGTCATAGGCCCACATTTTTTCTAGTCCTTGCTTCGCCATCCCTAGGCATTCCACCTGAGCTAGGTTTGGTGGTACTTGCCTGTAATCCCAGGGCTTTGGGAGGCTGAGGCAGGAGGATTGCAAGTTTGAACACAGCCTGTACAACTTAGCAACTTAGCAAGAGCCTGTCTCAGAATAAAGCAATAAAAGTGTGTGTTGGGGGGTAGAGACATAGCTCTGTGATCCCCAGCAATACTGAGAAAAGGAGAGACCTAGGTGTGCCACCTGTCTACATGGTCCAAGATAGCCCTTCCCATGGCTACATTCCCCACTGGAAAAAGGGAAATACACAGGGAGTGTATGCCTTTCTTTTTTTTTTTCTTTTTCTTTTTTTCCCTGTACTGAGGATCAAACTCGGGACCTTGTCCTTGCAAAGCTTGCAGGCACCACTGAGCAAAATCCCTGGCCCCAGTGCCTCTTTCTTTTCAGAGAATAAATTGTAGCTGTACCATCGTGTTCCAGTCCTTTAGTCAGATATAGCCACATGGTCACGCTGCCTGCCAGGGATTTTAGCTGGGTAGCCATCCACACAGCTCAAAATTCTACCCCCACAGAAGAAAGGGAGAGTGGGTGCTGAGGCAACCAGTTGTCTCTGCCAGACCCGTGTGACTATTCCTTCTCAGTCTCCCTTGTGAGCTTCTTTTACTCTGAGCACTGCAATCTTCATATACCGCGAGCCTCACCCATCTGTCTGCCTTTCTCACTCTACTCTTCCTCCTGGAGGCCGGTGGCCTGCGGAGCATTCTCAGTGTGCGCCCCCGCGGCCGGCCTGCCAGCCTCCTCTCACCTCCTTGCTCCCAGGCCCCCCGTGTCTCTAAGGAGAAGACGGTCTCTGTTAATATCAGCTTACTTCACCTGGAGAGCTTAGGATCCAGAAGTATTTTTTCCAAATTTAATAGAAATACTTTAAAAAATAGAAAAAAGTTCTGTTTTGGGGTTATAGATGACTTCAAAAAAACTTATCAAAGTGTAAGAAGAGTCTATGGGGAAAAGCCACATGGAGTCTGAATTTCCCGGGCGTGGTTAGTAACGTATCTTCCGTGCCATGCAGCGCTCTACACATCCCACTGTCTGTGTAATGTACAGCACGAATTTGTAAGGAAGGTACTGTCTAGAGGTTAGTACCGAGGGAGGTGGTAGCCAGATTGGGGAGGTCACCCACCAGAGCCACAAACCTAGCAGAGGTGATGTGGGAGCTGCAGCATGTGGGTCGCCCACTTCTGCACTGTGCGCCACCTGCAGGCGTCCAGATATACCAGACAGAGTTTGCTGGCTAGACGTGTCATAAAGGGGCCTGGTTTCCTGAAGGTAGGGATGCTCATAAACAAAGTGCAACTGATGGTCTGTGAGTGAGAATGTTGGAAGAGATTGTTGACCCTTTTATCATATGATATTCCTTTTTGCCACTGATAGTTTTTCTTGCTCTGAAGCTGCTGTGTCTGAAATTAATGCAGCTACTCTAGCTTTCTTTTGATTAGTGCTAACATGATATATCTTTCTCCGTTACTTTACTTTTATCCTCTGTGTCTGTATATTTAAGATAAATTTCATATGGACAACATATAGTTGGGTCTTGCTTTCTGATTCACTCTGACAATCTCTGTCTTTTAATTCTTTTATTTGGACTGTTGCCACTTCAAGAGATTATTGATATGGTTAGATTGATATTCACCTTATTTGTACTTATTTTCTATTAATTTTCCTTGTTCTTTCTTTTTATTTTGTTTGTTTGGATAGCTATGTAGTCCAGGCTAAATGTGAAATCGAGATCCCCTTGCCTCAGCCTCTTGAGTGCTGGGATTATAAACATTTACCACTGTGTTTGGCCTTTGTTCTTATTTTCATCTTTCACTGTTTTTTTTTTTTTTTTTTTTGACAATCTCCCTTTAATATAAAGTTGGTTTATCTACATACAGAGGTGGGAAACCACCCTATCTTTCACACTTTTTCTGCCATTGTGGTATTTATTTGAATGCTATATATGATTCCATTTTCTCTCTTTTCTTAGCATTAAATTATAATCTTTTTAAAATGGTTTTTGAGTGGTTGCCCTAGAATTTGTAATATACATTTACACCTAATCATAGACCACTTGGATAGTATAGTGTCCCACAGTACAGTGTGGAATGGGTTGAAGAAGGGGAAATGGAACATTATTGTTTAATGGGTACAGAGTTTCTATTTGGGATGATGCAAAAGTCCTGGAAATGGACAGTGGTTGTACAATATTGTGAATATACTTTCTCTCCCTGAATAGTACCCTTAAAATATTTTTAAATAGTATATTTTATGTTATGTATATTTTGCCTCTATTAAATAAAAAAGCAAGAAGTAAAGAAAGAAATGTAGAGGAGACAAGAAATAGAAGAGGAAGAGCAAAGAAGGCAGGCATGCGTCTGGTGAGGTTCCTGCTTACTAACACCACAGCTAAACTTGGCGTTGTAATAATCTATTAAAAAATAAGCCAGCCAGTCCTCAGCCTCGCAACTGTGAATTCTCAGCTGAATAAGGAAGTATTTCATTTTGTTTAATTTGCATATTCATGAAATGCAAATATCAGAGTGGTAGGAAGTGTATGGGGGAGGTGCCCCCAGCAGAAAACACTTGGTTGAAAAGTTGATCACTGTGCCTTGGTGTGAAGGGCATGAAGATGACAGACGAAGAGACATAAGGTCTGATGAAATTCAGAGGCAGTTCATTCCAAAGATCCAAGGACAGACAGAAATGTGACAGCAGACACGTGGCAGCAGGCTAAGTGGGTGGAATGAAGAGACACGTCTTTGTTTAAAGTTCATTTGAGACTGGTGTCAGTAGAACAGCAGCGAGAGGGAAGGCGGAAAAACGTTGGCAGGAAAAGCGCTGATCTTCACATCACCCGTGGGGGAGCCTGCTGCAAATCCAAACATGTCCTTCAAAACTCACATGCACAACTCTTTGTTTCTGCAGACAGCTCTGGTAAGATTGGAGTGTTGTGTAGCTTTCGTTTTTTCTTGAAAGAAAAACAGTTTTGTGTATAGTTGACCAAATATGAACCCAGGCTTGTATTAGATTCCCCTGGCATTGTCTTTAAATGCTGCCAATCTCGGCCTGCTGGCTCAGATTTCAGATAGAACAAGTACTAAGTGGGCTTTCCCAGGTCATCTTGACCTTTCTGTCTCCTAACAGCCCTCTCCTCCTCCTACTCATTCTCTTCCCCAGCCAGGCAACTTTTCAGATGGTTCAGTCTTCCCAGTGCTCCTAAAAACCTGGAGAAAGCAACACTGCAGAGTAAGGACTGAGCGAGTTGAAGGCCTTCTTAGAGAAGGGACTGGAAGGAGGCAGGACTCCCTGACCTTCCTGACAGCCGGAAGTCAGTGTTAAGAGCTCCCACACAACCTTGGCCTGGCCCTGTGGGAGGAGGGCCAGAATCCATCAGGCGTGTCTACTACGGGCAAACCACAGGGGACCAGTGTCGTTTGAACTACCTATTTGCTGATTTTGGACGGGACCTAGTCCCTCTCACTGGTCTCTTACCTTTCAGTTATAGTCACATCCAGTCAATCTTTGCTGGGGTCCAATTCTATGCAAGGTGGATGTATTGGTTTCCTAAGGCTGTCCTAACAAATTACCACAAGCTGCATGGCATAACACATCAGAAATTCATTCTTACATAGTTGTGGTGGTTAGAAGTCTGAAATCAAGGTGTAGGTATGGGTTCCTTCTGAGAGTTGAAGAAGTTGAAAAGCTCTCCTAGCTTTTGTTGTGGCCACCAGTTCTGGGTGCTTCTTTTTTTTTTTCTTTCATTAACTTTATTGGTACATTTTAGGTATACAATACAGTTACATTCATCATTGGGATCTTATACCTTTATATGATGTATCTTGGTTCTTATTTTTTTCCTCATTCCCCTGCCCTCCCTTCAACCCCTCCACCCCTCCTTATTTACAAAGATTTTGTTTCCATTTTTTTCTTTTCTCATATTTTTTCCTTTCCCTTCTTTCCTTTCTCCACCCCTCCCACTTCCCCTACCCCTTTAGACCTTTTCTTCCTATTTCACAATATCAATTATACATTTTCATCCTTATTTACACTTTTAGTTTTTCATACCAAAGAAACTATTCAGTATTTATACATGTGTGTCCTATTTATTTTACTTAAGAGTATGGCCTCAATGTGCATCCACTTAGCTATAAATGTCTCTATTTTCTCATTCTTTATGGCTGAGTAGTACTCCATTTTATAAAATAAAACAAAACACATCTTTATTCAGTCTCCAGTTGATGGGCAATTGGGCTGTTTCCAAGTTTTAGCTATTACAAACTGTACCACTATAAACATGGGTGCACATATATCACTGCGGTATGATTCTTTTTTTTTTGTTTTTGGTACCGGGATTGAACTTGGGTCCTTGTGCTTGCGCAGCAGGCAGCAAAACCACTGAGCTAAATCCCCAGCCCAGTATGATTCTTTTAATTCTTTTGGGAAGATACCCAGCAGAGGAAATCCTAGTTGTTTGAGGTATCTCCATACTGATTTCCACAGTGGTTGCACCAGCCTGCACTCCCACCAGCAGTGGAGAAGGGTTCCTTTCTCCCCACAACCCCGCCAACATTTGTTATTGGTTGATTTCTTGATAGCAGCCATTCTTTCTGGAGTGAGGTGGCATCTCAGTGTTGTTTTCATCTGCATCTCTCAAATGACCAGTGATGTTGAACATTTTTTTGTATGTTTATTTGCTACTTTTACTTCTTTGAGAAATGTCTGTTCATTTAAGATCCCCATTTTTGAATTGGGTCTTTATATTTGGGGGGTCTGACTTTTTTCAGTTATTTATATATTCTAGATAGTAGACCTTTGCCTGAGGAACAGCTGATAAAGATTTTTTTCCCACATTGTAGGTTGTCTGTTAGCTCTGTTGGTGGTTTCTCTTGCAGTGCAGAAGCTTTTTAATAAGATGAGATCCCAGTTGTTGTGTTGATTCTTTGTGCTAGCTCCCGTGCTACTGAGGATCTGTTCATAAAGTCTTTTCCTATGCCAATGTCTTCAAGAGTTTTACCTAACTTATCTTCCAGCAAGTTTAGTGTTTCTGTCTTAATATTTAGATCTTTAATCCACTTTGATTTTAGTTTACTGCATGGTGAAAGATAGGGGTCTAATTTTAATCTTTGGCAAGTTGAAATCCAGTTTTTCCAACACCATTTATTAAAGAGGCTATCTTTCTACCAGTGAGGATGGTTGGCTCCTTTATCAAAGATGAGGTAGCTGAGTATGTCTGGAATTGTACAAACAAAAGATGCACAACATCTTCTAATCTAGTCCACTGATCCTCAGGTCTGTTTCTTTGCCAGTATCATGCTGTTTTTTACCACAGTGGCTTTGTAGTATAGTTTCAAGTTGGGGACTGTGATATGCCCTGTCATGTCTCTGTTGGCTAGAATTGCTTTTGCTATTCTAGGACTCTTCTGGTTCCAAATGAATTTTCGGATTGTTTTCTCTAGTTCTGTGAAATATATCGTTGGGATTTCAATTGGGATTGCATTGAATCTGTATAGCAGTTTTGAAAGTACAGCCGTTTTCACTATATTGGTTCTTCCTACCCAGGAACAGGGGCTGTCTTTCCATTTTCTTATATCCTCTTCGATCTCTTTTTTCAGAGTGCTGTAGTTTTCAATGTAGAGGTCTTTTGTTTCCTTCATTAGATTGATTCCTAGATATTTCATTTTTTTGGGATGCTATTGTGAAAGGAATTGTTTCCCAAATTTCTCTCAGTGAGTCTGTTGTTCATGTAGAGGAAAGCTATTGATTTTTGTCTGTTGATCTTGTATCCAGCTACTCTACTGAATCTGTCAGTTAAGTCTAGAAGTCTTTTGGTGGAGTTATTTGGGTCTTCCATGTAGAGTATCATTTCGTCAGCAAATGACAGTTTAACTTCTTCCTTTCCTATCTTTATTCCTTTTATTTCTTTCTCTTGTCTAATTTCTGTGGCTAATGTTTCCAGAACTATATTGAACAGGAGGGTGATAATGGACTCTGGGTACTTCTTGACATACGGCTGCATCATTCCACTCTCTGCCTCCATCATCATATGGCATCATGTGGCCTTCTGGTCTTGTATCTTCTCATCTGGGTGGTTTGTTTGTTTCTTTGTTTGAGACAAGGTCTTGCTGTGTAGTCCAGGCTGTCCTTGAACTAATGATCCTCGTGCCTTAGCCCCCATGTGCTGAGATTACAAGCCCTATAATTCTTTTTTTATAAAGACACACATCATATTGTATTAAGAGATCACCCTATCCCAGTATGACCTCATCTTAACTAATTATATCTATAACAACTCTATTTGTAAATAAGGCCCAATTCTGAGGTTAGGACTTTAGTGTCTTTATAGACAACACAATTCAATTCACAGTAATGACTAAAGCTAAAGTGTTCACTGAAGCCACCTTGGTGCAAGGACAGGATTGCATTGAAATCTGCCTCTTCTGCTCGTGTAAAGAAAACTAGGATGATAGGGGAATGCTTTGTTTTAACCTGAGGAACTGTACTCTGGGTTATGAGAACTGGGGACAGAGTTTTCTCCAGACTCCCAGGCTCTGGGATTCAGCTGGGCATGGTCAGAAGGGGCTTGAAGTTCCTCCTGATGCCTGTACCCATGGATGGCCCCACAAAGAGGTAACCGCAGAGAATTCCATCTCATTCTTAGCCCTTTAACATGAGAAAACACAAATAAAGCTAAATATTTCTACCTTTCCACATTTTAAGTTCATGAGGACAGGCCCTGCTACAGTTTGTACGTATTTCTCCAAAATTCATGTTAAAATTTGACACCAACATGACAGTGTTAAGAGGTGGGAGTGTTTAGGAGGTGATTAAATCAGGAGAGTGGAACTGTTTTGAGTGGTATTAATGACCTTATAAAAGAGATTCAAGATGTTCATCTCTTTTTTTATCTTTCTAGCATGTTGGAGAAAACCGTGATCGAGGTGCCATGCTGCAAGCAATGATCTGGCCCTCACCAGATGCCAACCTACCAGCACCTTCATCTTGGACTTCCAGCCTCCAGAACCATGAGAAATCAATTTCTATTATCCATAAATTACCCAGTCAATGGGATTTTCTTATAACACCAGAAATGAATTAAGACAGCCCCAGAAGTTCCTATAAGTCCATAAAGAATCCAGAACTTACTTTTTGAGCCTCGGTTTATTCATCTGCAAAATGGGAGACATTAGCCTCTACAGGAAATGTAGGGCTTTTTTCTCTTCTCACTTCTCTCCTCAGCCTGCAGTCCTGGCAGTCAGCCTGCAGGCAGGCAGAACTGCTGGCCTATGGTGCTTGCAATAGGTTGGGTTAGGTTGACAAGGGTGGTGTGTCCTTACCTCTCTCCGTGGAGACAGTACTCATGTTTTTCTTTGCTCTGGGCCCTCGGGACCACTGTAAGCTCTTCTCTCCTTCTGAGCTCACTGCCAGCTGCAGACCGCTCTCTTCTCCTTACCTCCTCCCTGTGCATACTCACCATCCCCTTCCTGTGCTCTCAGTCACTTGCTCAGGCTAACCACCCTTGGTCACCACGAGAAAGTAACTCTGAGGCATGAGTCTGTTGTCAACTCTCAGAGAAGCATCTCAGTGCTGTCCTCCCTCCCCGTGCTGTGCACTAACTAGTTCCCTCCAGGCCTCCTCCAGCAGCTCTTTCAAGCCCCAGACACCCCTTCTTTCCACCTGTTCCTCGTTGATCCCCCACCCTCATCATGATCCATTCCCAGCAAGCTCACAAAGACACTGGTGAGTACACTTGAATGTGCTTATGTGAATGAAGAGCTTTTAAACAATAGAAAAAGAGTGGGCTGTGCCTACCCCTGAGATTTGTTTTGAGCTACCATGAAAAAAAAATGCAGCTCTATGTTCCATAGCTTTGTTTTTGTCCATTTGCTTCTCAGTGGAGTCCCTGCCATGGACTAATCCTTTGACAGTGATGGATCTGATCCTGATTATTGGTGGACAGGTGGGATGTCAAATGTGTCCCTACCATTGATTTTGCTCAGTGGCATCCTTTCCATTCTGGTAATGGATCTCTAGGCCTGTACTGTTCACTACATTTCTCTGGTATTGTTGATTTCTGTGAAATTTTTCAAATCAACTAAACATAGCATCTTGACTCACCCTCCTCCCGCTTTGTAAAGTAATATGAAAAAAATCAGCAAATGCCTTGCCTGATTGGTTTCCAGAAGCCTTTGATTTCATTTTTGCATAATAATCTCTGACCCCTGTGGGCAATGTAGACTAACAACTTGATACAGAGACTGAAAAGCTAACAGTGTATGTTGGTTTTCTGGGGAAGGAGGTATACAGCCCTCTCTTTGCTACCCTAATCCCTGCAAAGAAGGCCAAGAGGGTCTGTGGGTGTAGCTCAGTGGTAAAGCACTTGTCTAGCATATGTGCAATCATGGGATCAATCTCCAGCACCCCACCCACCTCCCCACACACAAATACAGCAAAACAAAAAATAAAACCCAGAAATATTCTAATTTATTTTCTGTTTTTTGGAGACTGTTTCGCTATGTAGTTGAGGCTGGCTTGATCTTACTATATAGCCCAGGCTCACATCAAACTAAGTGCCCTCCCACCTCAGCCTCCTGAGTGCTGGGTTTACAGGTGCGTGATATCATGTCCAGCTGTAATTTATTTATTTTAATTGACAAAAATTATATATATACTTATAATGTACAACATGATGTTTTGAAATACACATACACTGTGCAGTGGCTGTGTCAACATTATGTCGTGGCTAACATGCATTTCCTCACATACTGATCAGTTATTTGTGGTCCAATTACAAAAATTTGAATCAACAGTGGGCATCTTCAAGATACAATCATTCCTAAGTCTGAGAAATGATGCCCTATGTTATGTAATTTTCACATAAAACCTTAGGAATATGTATTTTTAATCCCATTTTATAGATAATAAAACCAAGACCCAAAGACATTAAGTGATCTGCCCAAACCCACATAGCTAATAAAAAATGGAGCTGGGATTTGAATCTGGTCCAGACGGAAGCCCATGATTTCCACACTGACTCCCAAGTTAGCAGCACAGGACTTGAGAATAACACTGTGCCTCTCCAAGTCTCATCTTGCACTTGACCTTTCACTGCCATGTGCCTAGTCAAATCTACACACCTCAGATTGTAGAGGGACCCAAAGCAAGAGGGAGGAATCCCAGACATGGGAAATGGGCCTCAGCAAGAACTGGAATCCAGGGTGACTGCAGGAAGATTCGTGTTCAGAACTGGTACAGACGATTTCTAATTTACATTGTTGGTCCCTTAGTTTTTGTGAGCTGGCCTGGGAATCCAACCATCATTTACTATCTTGTTTTTATAGATAAATAGCGCACAAGTTTCAATAAACTTTTGGAACCAGGTTGATGTCATACAAACTGCTCTTGTTAGGACTTGGTGTGATTGGTGATGAATCTGCTAAGGTGGTAGGTTTGTGTCTCTTACAGCAGATCAGCTTTCTCTCTGTGCTGTGACACATGGTGACACCTAATTCAGCTTGCTACATACAGGAGTCCCTGGGGTTTCAAAGGGCTTCATACAGGTTCATCAGCACACCTGAAGCAATAAGACCTGAAATGTTTTTGTGGGTTTTTGGGGGTTTTTTTTTTGGTACTGGGGATTGAACTCGGGTCCTTGTGCTTGTGAAGCAGGCGGTGGAACCACTGAGCTAAATTCCCGGCCCAAGACCTGAAATGTGAAGTACCTGGCTAAAGAAAAGTTAAGCAATGCACAGAAAAATTGGAAGAAAATACACTAAAATCTTGACAGTGATTGAGTGGAGCAATATTTCAGGAGACTTAACTTTTTTCTTTTTGTGGTATTGGGAATTAAACCCAGGGCCTTATACATGTTAGGTAAGTGCTCTACCTCTGAGCCACATCCCCAGATCATTTATACTTTTCTATAATATAAAAAACCCTCTATTATTTTGATATAAAAATATTTTTGGATGAAAGAAAAAGGACTTTATAAAAATCACTCTGCCAGTAGGGAGGGACGCTATTGCCACACACAGCCATCTGCCATATCTTCTTAAGTGTCCCACAGTGTGAGAAGACAATAGAAGCCACAGATGGGATGTGGAATAAAATATGTACAACTGTGAGAGCTGGGGCATGTTCCAAGGCATTTGCTAAAGGTATAGGCAGTGACACTTCTTTGTTTCTTCCCTCTTGACTCTCATCCAACTCTGGAGTATTCCTTCCCATCCCTCTAAGCTTGGGCTCCCTCCCCCGCTCCTGGAACTGGTACAAGAACAGGAAGCTTAGGTGGTCCTAAAATGAAGGCACAGGCAGCTTCTTAACCTACAGTGGTTGTCATGCACCCGTTGACTCTTTTGCCACTTGCTGCTGCCACTATTGTTGGCTACACACTCTGGGAGGACCCTTTTCTGCTCTGGCTGCAATGGTGTGCTCGTGTGAGGCACTTCTTTGCTGGGTAGATTCTCCCTGAAAACCTTTGCTGCAATCATGGGCTCCTCCACCCATATATTTACAAAACTTCCCAGTGGGCCCCACAAATTCCACATACCATGGACCCCTTGCTAGTACTGATGCTCTCTCAGCCCTTCAAGCCATCAGCTCAAATTCCTAGGCTCTAACTTCTGACCTCCCTAGGTGGGTCCAGAATCACCAACTAAAGACTTAGGTGAGTGGTGGTCTTTTCAGCAGCCTTTAAAACACAGAAAAACAGACCATTCCGCATGGAACAAAGGAGTGCAGAAATTGAGAATGCAAAAGCTTGGATCTTCTCTCTGAAGGAAAATGAGGAAGTTACCATTTTATTCTTTTGCTCAGGAGTCCAAAAGCAGCAAAATAAATTACTAAATATGTGTTTATGTTTAAGTAAAATATGTAACTCAATAAACAACCCCAAGTGCAGAGAGGTATCTGGGGGTAGTGGTGGGCCTAGGGAACCATTGTTCCTATTCCAACACATTCTTCCAATGATGTACTTCTCAATAATTTTTTTAAAAATTGTACTAAAATAAATTTGGGGTCTTAATCACTTTTTAGTGGCATTAAGCATGTCCACATGATTGTGCCACCATCCAGCTTTAGAACATTTTCATCTTCTAAACAGAAACTCCATCTATTAAGCAATAATTCTCTATTCTCTACTCTCCATTCACCCACCATTTTCTTTTCTGTTTCTGTGAGTTTGACCGGGCTGGATACTTCATTGCTATAGGTTGGATCTGGAAGGTCCTCCCAAAGCCCATCAGTTAAAGGCTTTTTCCTTGATTGGCACTATGGACAGGTGGTGGAAACTTTAAGAGGTGGGATGTGGTGGGATGGTGTAGGTCACTGGAAGTGTGTCCTCAAAGAGGACTATGGGTCTCTCATCCCTTTCTCCTTCACATCTCAGCTACAAGGTGAATATCTTTACTGGGCCACACACTTCTGCCTTGAGGTGCTGCCTCCCCACAGCCCAAAACAGTGAGGCCAATTAATGATGGACTGAAATCTCCGAAACTGTGAGCTGAAAGTATATTGATTATCTCAGGTATTTGTTACCATTACGGAAAGCTGACTACACACTCAAATAAGTAGAATAATACAATATTTATCTCTGTGAGGCTGGACTATTTAGCTTAATATCAGGTCTTCATGGTTCATCCATGCTGTAGTGTGTCATAACTTCCTTCTTTTTTAACCTGAATAACATTCCATTGTATGTATATATTAAATTTTGTTCATTCTTTCATTCACTGATGAACATTTGCACCTTTTGGCTATTGTGAATAATGCTGCTGTGGACACAGGTGTACAAATATCTCTGAATCCCTGTTTTCAAATCTTTTGGATTTGAACAACTTTTCTGAAAGCATTATGTTGACATAATTGCCATTAAGTCCATGGTGAAGATCACAAGGTAAAATTAAGACAATAAGAAGTGGAGAAGTTGGTTCAGGGCAGCTCCTTTTTCTTGCTCACTCTTTGGCTGATGGCAGCAGTTCAGCTCCCTTGCGCTGCCTCTGAGCATAATTTTCACAGTGATTCACCCAGATCGGGGTTAAAAATCCCTCTCTGAAAACCCAAAATTTAAAGTGCTCCAAAATCCAAAACTTTTTGAGTACCAACATGACACCACAAGTGGAAAATTCCACATCTGACCTTGTGACAG